TCATATTCCTTTCTACCATTACCGATTCTGTTTCGCTCTTATATCTGTCAAACTCTATTGATTCTCTTTACTCATCTTCTTGTCTACCTTTGTGTGGTATTTGGAAGGTGGCAATTCGAACTGGTGCACTTCGGTGGCAAGTTCTATGTTGAATCTAGACAGACAGACTGGATTGGGACTTGAACCCCGGACTACGTGCATGGTCGGCTAGCAGTCTACCGCTGAGCCGTCGACGAACGAAAGTTGATTATATAGTGAAATATGTCTATGCCAGTTCTACCTTGTAAAATTAAACAATACACGAATTCATACCGTAATACTGTAACAATAGAAGGCAAGATACGGAAGCCAAAGTATATTTCATTATATATTTCCCGGTGTTTATATATATCTACAGTTTATATTCGTTAACCAATCACTGAGCGTATGATTTTGGTTTACAACAAAGGACTTGAAATAGAATGTTCAAATAAATACATCGTATTCTGTCACTAATGCAGTATTGAACTGTGGGAATATGTGAGAATAATATTCCGTTGGCAGACATTGTCTGTATCACACCACCGCACTCGTCGTCTTGTCAAAAGCCTTCGATTGAAGTTGGTTCGATCTGCTTGATGCTGGTGGCTTTGTTAGCTTGTCTTGCTGTATTGAGTTCCGGAACTCGCTGACATTCACCCGCTCCTCTTTGTGTGCATTTCTGATTGTACATACGTGACCCCGTCTCTCGGTGACCATGCTCCCAGTAGCGATCGAAGTAACAACCTCTTCGCTGACGGATCTTAAACGCCAGATATCTGCGCAACAGTCTCGAAGTCCTGCCCGAAGATCCATACGTCTCCATCAAAAACTGCAGGGCATAGGCTTTTCATTTGTTAACAAGCAGAGATACCAAATGTAATAATAATGATTTACTTTATTCCAAAAACAGTACTTGTGATACAGAATGGAATTTTTAGCATTAATCACAATATTGCATCTAATTTCCTCAAATTATAAATAAAATTATTTACACAGAAAATTCTCCACATTTACAATAAGAGAGGTAATAGTACATCTTCCCTAGCTGGTATCAAAACAAAGTTTGCCCAAGAAGGTTGAGTGTGATGACGAATTGTTGTTTTGAACGTATAAAGGTGGTTTAAAATTTCTAATTGCCACCTAGGGCTTACACAAACTTTAGGATACGCCCCAAAACACGCTCTATGGATACGTTTGAAAGATGTGTGTAAACGTCAATTTTATGTTCTGTCTCTATGATATGTTTCTCAACAGAGGAGCTAGGTCTTCTGTTCTCACCATTAATGAGTTCTGGGGATTCTATTTGCTTCTGAAGTCATTTAGGAATATGCTATGAAGTCAGCCCTTAATTGCAGAGATCGATGATGAGTCCTCCCTATTTATGTAGATGTGTCCACAGGTACATACAAATTGGTAATAAAGTAGGATGTGACATCACTTTTTGTATGTTCAAAGGGCTTAGATAGATTTATTGGCTTCCCATTCTCAATTATTATTGTGATATTAGCCGCATAAAAAGCCCTTTCAACAGCAGTGTTCAATCTTTGTCTAGTTGTCAAGCTGCTTTAATCCAAAAACTCGCCGTCATTGGTTAAAATTTTTATATATAATATATATTAATATTATGTATAAAAATATCTATTCCTTTGATATAAACTCTTCATTCACTAATGTGCCTTTACTTAAATCGATTGACATTTTGTGTGATTACATTTCCACGCACAAATTTTTTATCCCGTTCCCTATATCTTATTTAAGGGATTTATTACTTCTGTGTACTAGCAATGTTAGGTTCACATTTGAAGACGAATGTTTCCATCAAGTTGGTGATGTTGCTATGGGAAGTCCATTAGTGCCCCCATTTTTAGCACTTACATTTAGAGTTTATCGGGGGACTTAATCGGAAATGTGCCACTTTATAAAAGGTATGTAGACGGCATTGTAATCATAAGGGATAAACCTTATTCTGTCACCTCAAACCTAAATTGAATGAATGAAGTTCAGAATAGCATATCTACTGCGTCCATAGAAGAGGAAGATAATTGTTTATCTTTCCTAGACATATTGCTTAGTCGACGGACGGCTTAATGGGGCAATAAAACGATCTATTTATAGAAAGACTACCTACATAGGACAGTATCTTAATTATCACAGTTTCTGCTCTGTTCGGTACAAAAGAGCCTCCTTGAGTAAGATGCCTCTTCAGTAGAATCCAACAAATATGGACTGGAGACACACTTGATGATGAGGAAGAAAGAAAGTTAACACAAACTCTGGTTGATAACAATTATCCAGACAAGTTTATTAGGAGATATCAAGTAATCAGAACATCAAGCTACCCTATATGGGGTATAACAGCAGCTTAACAAATAGACAAAAGATTGAACGCTGCTGTTAAAAAGACTTTTTATGCGGCTAATATCACAATAATAATTGAGAATATGAAGCCAATAAATCTATCTAAGCCCTTTGAACATGCAAAAAGTGATGTCACATCCTACTTTATTTACCAATTTGAATGTACCTGTGGACACACCTACATAAATAGGGAGGACTCATCATCGATCTCTGCAATTAAGGGCTGACTTCATAGCATATTCCTAAATGACTTCAGAAGCAAATAGAATCCCCAGAACTCATTAATGGTGAGAATAGAAGACCTAGCTTCTCTGTTGAGTAGCATATCATAGAGACAGAACATAAAATTGATGTTTACACACGTCTTTTAAACCTATCTATAAATAGACCGTTTTATTGATCGGTCATCGGCCATCGATTACGCAATATATGTCGGAAAGATAAGCAATTGTCTTCCTCTTCTATAGACGTAAGTGATATGCTATTCATCATTCGATTTAAAGTTAAGGTGGCAGGACAAGGCTTATCACTTATGACTACAATGTCGTCAGCATATCTTCTATAAAGTGATACATTTTCGATTAAGTCTTGACAACTGTTGTGTTCAGATATATTTACAAGCGGGTTAACAGTGAAATTTGCACTTCGTACATTTTCCTACTATATGTTGCGACTCTTCATCTGTGCATATATACATTCTAGTTTGAATGCCAGCATCTGTTTTGAGATTCGGTCCAATTCAGCATTAATAGTGATATTGGCTAAGTGTGACCAGCAAATCGACTATTGAAAACTGCGGAGTACTGAATACCTGTTTCACCCCCCAGCTTGGGACTTTTCAGCAGTAGGCACCTATGCGTGGCACTCCATAAGGGATCGGAAAAAAACAGTTGAAAATTGCTGTAGTGCTCACTAGTAGTGACTGACTGCGAAATGGAGTTGCGTACATTTCTGGGGGAAAAGCTGTGACCAGGGCATGCGGACAGATACTTACCGAGATACTGGCTGGATGTCGCGGTATATATATATATATAATTTTATTCCTTAACGTTCCGATCTGAAAAGAGGGTTTCAAGGTAGAGTTTTGATGTTCTAGTAGCGGCGGTTTTATTTTTACAGGGTGGAGTTGCTAGTATTACACCCAACCTTCACTCTCTACTGGCTTTACTACCAGGTTAGCGTGGTTTATAAATGCATCGGCTTGGGACCAAACCCCGGATCACTGGTGGCGCGGTTGGAGAGGATTCTACTTCTGAACCACTGACGCAATGTATATATATATATGCCGCGAATTGACAGATATTGGTATTGATGAGCCATTGGATTTCAGGTCAAGTGGCTGAGTAGTCAACGAGGTCATCATTGTATCCCTGAGTTCCTGGGTATGATCCCTGTTGAAGTCATCGGTGAGCATTGATGAAGAGTCACATAGTGGGACGTAACAGATGTTTAGTACTCCCTTCTGAACATCTTGTACGGCAGTCTTCGAATGTTTGACATTCGATTCGCTTCTGTTAAATGTAAGATGAAGCTACAGCTACAGGACTTGGGAGTCAAGTGGTGGAGCGTGTTGACCACCACTTCACTTATTTGGGAATTCGCATCAGCCAGTCCCAGAGGGGGGGGTGATCTCTAATGAAATCTCAGCACGAATATAGAAGGCTCGTTTTGATATTTACTAGCCGACTTACACTATCTTTTACGTTGACGTGATATTCAGTTGGTTATCGATAAAAGGACGTGTGTACTGCTCAGCAGGTCTCTCCGTCCTCCTTTATGGCTCGCTGTGAGAAATGGGCATTCAAAGTAGAATAAATGGAAAGACTAACTGTCTTTGATCATAGATGCCTGCGTTCTATCTCCCTCTCGTGCTGGGTGGTAGATGTTATCGTGTGAGTAATATTGATGTTAGCCATCAGTCGAGTGTTAGGTAAGAAAAGGAAATCGATCGATTAGGTTGTGAAGTTACATGGATTGATAGAAATGGTTACATGTGTTACTCACCCCTGCCTAGCTGTTCGTCTCCTACCTCGACAACAGATAATGTTAGCCGGTGACATATGATGGATCAGGTTGGGAAAGTGTAAACTGGTGGTGGTCAAACCAAAAACATGGTTTCATCAGTCAGTGAAATTCATAACAGTTAGTTTAAACCTGCCAGCCAACCAGCCACCTAAGGAGGTGTAGACTTCCTGACTGATTGGGGGTACCCTGAATTCTAAGAAGCAATGAGGGCTGGAGACAATGGCACAGATGCATTCACTCTTTGTTACTTGTTATGTCCAATGAAACTCTATTATTCTTCCATATTACTACTATTCTTTTCCCCTCACTCACGCTTCTGTTCATTATCTCTCTCTCTCTTTTGAACCTCCCTTTACTCTCTCCTCTTGCTTTATGGGATACATGGACTAGAGAGTGGGAACTCGACCTGCCGTACATCTGTACGAAGTTCTATGGTGAAACCAGTCAGTCAGTAGTACTCCCTGCTGTTTTCTTCAATGGTTTCCTGATCAAACTTGAGATATTAATATATATATTATTAGGATTCTTCTACTGTCTATCTAATTGTCTTTTTGTCTCCCTAAATAGCCGTTATTAATTTTCTGCTTTTATTTTAGTTCCTCAAAATGCAATTACTACTACTACTACTACTACTAATACCGATGGTAACTTAAAGCGAAATAATGAAATATCAACAAATACACGAATTTATCGTAGAAGTCGTGCATTACCTGGCAATATACTTCTTACATCTGATCAAGGTTTACCGATGGCGACAACAGTCACAACCACATCGACGACAAGTTCAACAACAACTACTGCTGCTGCTGCTACAACACTTCCTGCTACTGTCAGTCGTAAACCTGCACCACCTCCACGTCTGATTTCAATAAGTCGTCAACTGTTCATATACCTACTTCACTTACAAATTCCACTTATAATACGAATGTATTATCTGAATTAAGGTAATTGTCCTTTTACTTGGCTGTTGCTGTTGTTGAGTGGTTCATTGTCTTTTTTTTCTAACAATATTGATATTATTATTATCTTTTCAGACATAGCTTCCACCTGGCTTGATGACTGCCAGCATCGGCCTATCCCTTGTTAAGTAGTATAATAGGGTGAGCAATATTGAGGTTATGCGTTGAGTGCTAGTAGGTGGGAGAGGAAATCAATAGACAAGTCTGCGAAGCTGCATCGATTGAGATGGTTAGGGCATGTTTTACGCATGCCTGCCTCACCATCACCTTCCTCGATTACAAGCAGTGTTAGCCGCTGACACAGGACTCATCAGGTTGGAAAAGAGTTGGCTAGTGGTGGTCAAAACAAAACATAACTTCATGGGATGGAGGATTTCATCATGAGCTGACATCAGTTAGAGAACCATTGGAAAACCACCTTGGAGTACTGGACAGCCAGTTGTTTCGTCAGTCTGGTTTGAGACTCTTCAGCAATGCACACCCACCATTAAGGGCTAATGAATTCTAACTTCTGCCAATTCACGACATATCGCCATTGGATCGCGTCCCAGTGGCTCAATGGTCTACCAGCTGGCCTTGCGACCAGAAGGTCCTGGGTTCTGGCCCCGGTGGGTGCGCATTGCTGAAGAGTCCCAAACCAGACTGTCGAAATAGCTGTCCAGTACTCTTAGCTTTTCCAGTGGTTCTGTAACTGATATCAGCTCATTATGAAATCCTTCATTCAATCAAACAAAATCCCTACAAAACCAATACTTGAAAACATGACTTCATCAGTCAACGAAATCCATAACAGTTAGTTTAAGCCAACAAGTCATGTAGGGAGGTGTAGGCTGCGTGACTGACAGGTTTGGAGTCCTCGGTATGGTAAGAATCAAAGGAAGCTGGAGAAAATTAGCGATGTGGCTCAAGATCCTTGTTCTAAGAGGATGGTGCAGATGCATTCACTCTTTGTGATTTATCATGTCCAATGAAACTCTATTTATCTTTCATAATATTACTATTATTTTTCCTTCACTCAGACTTCTGTCTATTATCTCTCTGTCTTTTGAGTATTTCTTTACTCTCTTTTCTAGCTTTGTGTGTGTGTTATATGGATTGAATAGTGAGAACTCGAACTGCTGCACATCTGTGCAAAGTTGTATGTTGAAAGCAATCGGTGACGCCCAATTATCACGGTTTGTTACTGGAACTCCAGACAGGTTCACTCTGTAGTCAGTCAGTTACTACTAATGAGTAGTAGGTTAAGTGTCAAGCATGTTAGTTTGTAGGGATTTTATTGTGTTTAAGGCGCATCACAGATTGATTGATTGATATCAGTCCCAAAGTAGTAGGACTGAAATCCTTTTCCATCTGTTCATGCGTCATCCTCTAATTTATTAGAAGCAAATATTAAAATTAATAAAAATTCAATATTGGCCAACATTATGTGTAATCTAACAATTGCTTATCTTATCTTCTTTTTCTTAATATTTCTGTTTAATTAAAAAAGGAGTATATTTCGAAATAGAGGTTAATATAACAATTTAATTTTGAGGAAAGATAGATGAAGAAATAAATGTAACGCCTTAGGCAGGAAACAGAATGCATTTCAAATTCAGACAGACAGGCGCGGAAAAAAAAGTGCTACACAACGTGTTTTTTTGCCACCTGAAACATTGATAAACACCCTTGAACATTGAACACACTTTATTTAAACAAAAATCTAAACAAAAAAGTTTGATATCAGTTGTTGTAGGAGGGAGAAGATATCGACAATAGAAAAAAATTAAGTATCCTTCGATATGTAATACACAGAAAGATACATCAGTGTGTAGTTTTTGTTGTCGTTTTAATTAAAGCCAAATTTGATATTAAATGGTTGGAAGCAATCTGCAGGAAGCCCAGCCAGCTGAATTAGGTTTCGTGCTTGCCAGACAAGAACTCATATCCCTCCTGAAAATCGAACTCACATCAATCAGAGAAGTTATCATTGAGCTATTCGTGCTCAGTTCCTTTTCAAGGCTCGAACCCAGTGCCCATAGTTTTAAACGCCAAAGCGTTATCCACTAGATCACTTGGGCCACGACAGCTGGCCATATCTTGTGCAACGGGTCATATTGATTATTTAATTGAATTCTAGATTTTCCCGTCGATTGATTCGACCGAAGTGCTCAGTCTCAGGTTGACATGTCGGCATCCTGGATTCCACTGCTAGTCACTATCCACCAATTCACTGCTAATTACATGCCCAGACATCGTCGAGGCATCTGCACAAGTAGCCGACAGACATGCCAACCTGAGACCGACAATCACTACTCGGTCCAATCAATCTACGGAAAAAGCTAAACTTGAATTAAGCTTGACATTAGTATTTAAAATAAAACACGATGGTTATTACAAATACAAATAGTTTCATTATGAGCTGACATCTGTTAGAGAACCACTGGAAAACCTGGGAGTACTGGACAGCTGTTTCGTCCGACTACTTTTGGAATCTTCAGCAGTACGCACCAACCGAGGTTCGAACCCAGGACCTTCTGGTTACAAGGCTAACGAGTTCGTAGACCATTAAGCCACTGGGACCCGACCGAATGGTCCTTGAATTCTAACTTCTGCCAATTCACCATATAGCACTACCACTTCACAGCGTCTTCTTCAATGAGTTACTGCCTCGTCTTCTATCTATCTGCTGTACCCTACTGGTCATGGTTTCCCGCTTGAACCCCAGGTTAACTGCCTGAATAGGACCAGTCAACTAGTGCGCATCAAATGAATTTTCAAGTATAACAGTCCCAAACTAGGCTGACGTAACAGTTGGCTGTCCAGTATTCCCAGGTGGTTTTCCAATGGTTCTCTAACTGATGTCAGCTTATGGATGAAATCATCCATACAATCAAACAAACAAAATTCCTACAAAACAACCAATACTTGAAAATACAAATAGTCTTTGACTTTACGTGTATCACACATTTTGGTTGTTTTTTTTAATGTTGATATGCGTAGGCACCCCCTCACACATACACACACACACACCCACAGAGGGCACCAGCTGCTGCATCAGGAAGAAAAGATAGTAACAATAAATAACACTATTCATTTGTGTGTATTATGCATTACACAAAGTATTTATGAATCATTAAGTGTGTAGCATTACACAGTGATTACTCATCATTCATAATGTATCATTTATTGTCTAATTGTTTGTAGGCGGTTGTTGGATATTACACCCCTCTAATTAGCGTAAAAACTAAGCGAATTATTCTGTTCCAAATATTTCACCATGTGATATATTAGTAATTGGTTACGAAGCTTGGCTTTTAATCACCTGTGGTGAGTCATGAGTAGTAGTATTGTGGTTGGATGGTTAGAGGTAATCAGCCACAGGAAGTCTTGCTTGACTTCGGTTTTGTGCTAGTTGACGCTCACTCACTCACTCATCAGTCAGCAAGGGTATCTGCAACTACCTTGAAGGGACTTATGTTCTTTCTGAAGTTCTAACTCGCGTCACCCAGTAGGGTTGCAGCCAGTCAGAGACATTACCATTGAGCTGTTTACACTTGAAGTAACTAAGTACCCACTGTAGTAGTAGTACTACAGGAAGTTAATTACCAGTCCAAATAGCTCAGGTAATGTGTGTAAATGCATCTAATAAACAAACTAATACGAAACTCTACACTAGTCATCTTATTTTATTTTATTTGTAATGTAATGTATTTGGTGCGTCAGTGGTACAGCGGTTAGGACGCTCGCTGACCATGCACATGGTATGGGGTTCGATCCCCGACCACCGACGCACTCCTTTACCCTCACTAAGCCAGAAAAAATGCTGGTAAAGAGGTGGTTGGTAAAGATTGGGCATGAGGCTAGCAACTCCGTCTTGTAAAATAAACACTGCTACAGAAACTTGAAGCCCTATGTGTTCCACTGGGAACATGAAGGAAAAAAAAATTAAACTGTATTATCAATGTCATGCTGTGCTGTAGTCGTACATTTTGTTCTCTGTTTGACAATTTATCATTATTATTAGTGAATTATCTAATTGTTATGTTACAATAGTTATTTTCCCTTCTTCCCCTAATAGTATGCACATTCTACCTATACACTCACCATTGTCACAATTATAGAAACACTTGAATGAAATAGTCTTTGTCATTATTATTATTATTATTATTATTATTATTATTATTATTATTATTCGGATCACCTCGAGCTTTCGCTGATTTACACCATCTCTGGCGTAGGCGTGACATCCGGCTATCAACCAAGGGACGTGTGTACTCCTCATCAGTTCGCTCTGTCCTTCTCTATGGCTCTGAAACATGGCCAATACGAGTTGAAGATATGAAAAGGTTGACTGCTTTCGATCATAAATGTCTACGATCTCTTTCTCACGTTAGGTGGTTTAATAAGGTAAGTAATATTGACGTTAGGTGTAGAGTGTTGAGCAAAGGGGGAAAATCAATCGTCGAGGCTATAAAATTACATAGATTGAGATGGCTAGGTGATGTGGTGCGCATGTCTAACCATCGCCTTCCCCGACGACGGGCATTACTAGCTGATATGGGTGCAGGTGGCCAAACAAAAACATGGCTTCATCAATCCATGAAATCCTCGACAGTTAAACTGAGTCAGGTAGGGTAGGAGATGGAGACTTCGGGGTTAGGGCCCTCGGGACTGACTCCAGGAGTCAATGGCTGGAGACAATAGGTGACATGGCTCAAAATCGTTGTCAATGGCCAGCGCAGATGTATTCAGTCTCTGTAATCTTTCATATTTCTTTCTAGCATTGCTCATTCTGTTTCACTCTTATACTTGTCAAACTCTATTGATTCTCTTTACTCATCTTCTTGTCTACCTTTGTGTGGTATTTGGAAGGTGGCAACACGAACTGGTGCACTTCGGTGGCAAGTTCTATGTTGAATCCAGATAGATAGACAGGATCACCTCGATTGTTATCCATTAATTCACACCCCCGAACTCTGATCCTACATATTCTATAAACCACATTAATAAAAAGACAGTTTCAGCGAAGAAAATTTTCTTTTCGACGAAGTCTCTGCCAACTAGGATATACATTCGTGTATCTAAGATGAAAGGGTGGGAAAGTTCCAGAATAATTTCCGGTCAAGGGTCAAATTATTAAAATGATATTTAGGAATTAAAATGCCATAATTAACAGGGTGGGGAATGGATAAAACTTAAACAAAGTCGCATCATAATTACTGAGATAATTGACATATTGTGCAATTAGGGGTTAGAAATGTAGAAATGACAAAAGCAGACATAATGTTTGTATAAAAAATGTAGAGGGATCATAGCTAATGTGGTGAATAGTTGTTAATGCAATCAGTGATTAAATATGCAGAAATAATAAAATGACAAAATATACAGGAAGTTCGGATATGAAAATATGGTAGTGTAAATAGGGATTAAGAAAAACTTAAAAGTAATATGAATAAACAGGAAGTTTGGATAAGGAAGGCAATGGGATAGTCACTATTAAAAGAATTACCTGTTTACGATGGCCATGGTACGGAAAAGGATTGGACGTACTTCTTTTTGATGCATACCGTGGGTATGAGCTTTTGGATGGCTAGTGCCTTGGCTATGCCCATATGTCTTGATTTTACTCCCTTTTATACGTAGGTTTGATCGAATCTTGTATATGATTTCTTGAAGGATTTTTCGAATGGCGCTGAATGTCCCGAATTGACCAGATGTTCTGTCACTGAACTATATACCCCTTTTCGTTCTCCTTTTACTAACCAAGCTGGATAGCGTTCACGGTGCGTTTTTCAAGTTGACGCATCGTACGACCGATGTACTCAGCTTCGTTCGAGCAAGTAAACTGGTATATCCACGTCAAAGTGGCCCAATGCGACAGCTTGTCTTTCGTGTTCTTGCTATAAAGTTTCTTGCAGGAAAACGTTTGTCGTAGGCTCGCGGCGAAGTATGTTTTTCTTGGCGATTTGGAGAGGCGTTTCCGAAGGATTTCTACTTCAATGTCACCTTTGAATTCTAGATTAAGCAGAAGTATCTTCCTCGGGACGGATTGAACTTGTTCGGAAGTCTTCTGTGATTTGAGGTTCTTGTCGTTGAACCTAGGCGGAAAGCCGTTTTCCATCAGGGTTCTTCAGAGATTACTCAGTTCTTCATCAGCCACCTCGTCGCTGCATATTTTCCGAGTCAGGTTCCTCTTTCTGCTTAGGGGCACGAAGCTTTGAAAGTTGATAAATTGTCTAGTCCATTTGGTCTTTTTGTATATGGACCGTTTCAGAGAGTTGTCGGCAGAGAACGAAAACGTGTATATAGTTCAGTGACAGAACATCTGGTCAATTTAATAATAATAATAACAGCTTTATTCCAAACAGTATTTGTGGTACAGTTATGGAGTTTTCAGCGTGGATTACAATATATTGCATCTAATTACCTCATAAATTTTAAAAGATTTTAAAATCAAAAAGCAACACCCAAAAAAAGATAAATAAAAAAAATAAAAAGAACAGCGTTGCGTTTACTTTTTAAACAATGCACCACATGAAAACAAATATAAAATTAGTGTATAATAGAAGATGAGAGCAGACAGTGTAATAGTAACAAGGAAAGGAAAACAAAAACTAATGGGACTATTTGTTAGAGTGCCGCAGTAAATTGATCGTGTCATACCTAACGAATTTTTTCATCATATAACAGCTGTGCCAGATATGGTATTGTGGAGGTTTTGTACTTGGTAGTCTTAGCATATAGCCTCCTTCCTATAGCTGCTTCTAGTTCTACCAGATGAAATGCAAGGAGACAGCTGAGTATAGAGAGGATACTCGGGGTCTGACAATATTGTATTCGCTAGTTTCTTACATGACATTATATGTCTATCCACAATAGTGTTAACCAGTTGGTTTAACGATATCCCACTTGCCCTACTAACGGCTTTTAGTGCCTGCTCTTCTCAGCAAAGCAAAGTCCTTCTTACGTAGTCCGGGAAAGATTAATGGGGAACAGTAAAGGGGGATGGGTAGAATGCAAGAATTGACAAACTGAGAAAGAAAAGACTTATTTATGCCAGACTACCTAAACACCAGCTAAAGTGAGTGAGGTAGTGGAGGACTTTCCATTGTAGACGGTGTACTGCTTCCTATCAGAAAAATAGAAATGCAGCCACTTATTTATCCAGCTCTCAACCCGTGTTGCAGCAAGCTTACTTAGCAAGAGAGACCTAGGTACAGAGTCCAATGCAGATGTGTAATCAAGGAAGGCACGGCGAACGTATTTAGCTCCTTTATGTAAACTAGAGACTATACTATGCTGTATGTCAACAGCACCATCTAACGTACACCCACTATGTTTATAAGCAAACTGGTTGGGGTCGTTGAAAGGCTTTAAAAGAGGGATCAAGATTAAGTAAAATAAGTCTTTCCATAACTTTCGAAAAAGGTGAGGACATTCAGCGCCATTCGAAAAATCCTTCAAAGTCATACACAAGATTCGATCAAACCTACCCCTATCAAAGGGAGTAAAATTAAGACATCTGGGCATAGTTGACGCACTAGCTATTCAAAAAGCTCAATCTCAGACGATTGAAAGAATCGGTTCCTCCCTTACTTTTTTTCCTCAAATATTCTCAAGTTTTTAGTATGCCTCAACCGCCCCTCAACCCTTCGCCTATTTGTTTTTACTATTTCTTTTGTGTTATTTTAGTCCTGAATTACCATTACCAGTTCGTGTGAAACGATCTCAGATGTCGTTGGATAGTACTAGCAGCAGTAGTAGTAGTTGTAGTGGTGGCGATAATGACGAAAGTACCAGTTTGCAGGATGCTACAATCAACGGAAATAACAATCTATCAAGAGAAGAAAATAAAGAGAATAGAATTCACGGCGTCGTGGATAATCACCATCATCATCGAGTTAATGATGACACTGGTAAATTGTCTACAGATTATCATCGGTCGACTGGTGGTGTTGGTGTTACTAATCCTCCGCCTACTGTCGGCACAATGGCAGTAACAACGCCCACTACAAGTACTACTACAACACCAACAACTATCTCTGGAAAACTTCAGGTAATGCGTTACAAATATTCTAATAAAGTATTAGTATAATGTTTTATTTAAAGCAATTAGTTGCCTTTATTTATTATATATTTTAGTATATCCTTTAATTCCTAGAGGGACATAGGGCTTCAGCTGTGCGTTTCCACTGCCTTCGGTTTTCTGCCAACTTTTTCACCCCGTTCCAAATGTGCCCACATGTTTTCATCTCCTCTTCACATAACCTCCTCCAAGTCACCCCACTTTCGCAATGACGACCAACACGCCGCTTCCATTTCGATAGGGTTCCACTCAAGCGACAGCTTGTCTAGTGATGTCACTTGATGGTTTCCTCAGCGTATGGCCAATTCACCTCTATTTCTTCCTGCCTGTTTGTTTCACGATCTGTTCCTGGATGTTTCACTCCCAGAGATCCCTGTTGCTGATCTTTTCTGGCCGGCCATCTGATCTTGAGTAGTATTGAGCGAAGACAACTGTTAATGAAGGTCTGAAGTTTGTTCGAGATGCTCTTTATGACGCGCTGGCCAAGTCTCTGATCCATCCGTATAGTAGCACTGACTGGATTCACATTGGAGTCGAAAATCCGGATGTTATTTTTGATGATGAGTGCTGTTGACCTCCACACAGACTCAAGAGTGATGGAAGCTTGTCTTGCTTTCCCCAGCCTTGCTTTGATATCCTCGTCAGTTTCGCCTGTAGTTGAAACAATGCTTCCCAGGTGGGTAGGCAGGTGAGTGAAGGAGGTTGTTTCTTTCAGATTCCTCCCATTTACGCTGGCTAGTTGTTGTGTGTTGTTGCTGTTGGTGTTGGCCAGGAATCTTCATCCCCTAACTCTGTTTTATCTATGTTCACTTGAAGTCCTATCTTTGATGCTTCTTCCTCTGTCGAATTGTTGCTTTTCACTTGCATATCTTCCAATTTATGGGAAATCAGACATATATCATCGCTGGCGAAGTACAGATCCTCCAAGTTTGTTTTGTGTGTCCACTTTATGTCTGTTTCCTCGCTGCCCGTTGTCTGTCGCATTATCCAATCTACTGCGGTCAGGAAGAGATCATTGGCCATAGTAGACAGCCTTTATGAATTTAGATTAATTAATAAGAAGACGTAATTTGTCTGAATCGTGTAATGTGCATTTACGCAACACATTTCGAACAATCTGATCCAGCACACACTTTGTCATAGGAATGTGTATATATGAAATTAATAAAGAGTTAAGAGGTGAGGAAATAGGCAAGTTAAAAGGACATATTGAAGGTCAAAATAACAATGAAGATCAATCACTAAACCAAATAAGAGAGGTAATATTACATCTTCCCTAGCTGGTATCAAAACAAAGTTTACCAAGGAGGCTAGGTTTAGTGTGATGACGAATTGTTGCTTTGAACGCATAAGGGTGGTTTAAACTTCCTAATTGCCAGCTAATTGTTTCCACAAACTTTAGGATACGCACTCTTTCAAACACGTTTTATAGATAGGTTTAAAAGACGTGTGTAAACGTCATTTTTATGTCCTGTCTGTATAAGATGTTTCTCAACAGGACAGAATTTCTGGAACCCCAGTCATGATGAGAACAAGAGACCTAGCTCCTCTGTTGAGAAACATATTATAGAGACAGAACATAAAATTGGCATTAACACATCTTTTAAACCTATTTATAAAACGTGTTTAAGGCGTATCCTAAAGTTTGTGTAAGCCCTAGCTGGCAATTAGGAAGTTTAAACCACCCTTATGCGTTCAAAGCAACAATTCGTCATCACACGAAACCTTCTTTGGTAAACTTTGTTTTGATACCAACCAGGATGGATGTACTATTGCCTCTCCTATTTGGTTTAGTGATGATTGATCTTCATTGTTATTTTGACCTTCAATATGTCCTTTTAACTTGACCTAAGTAGTCTATTTTCTCATTTCTTAAGTCTTTATTAATTTCATATAAATTCCAATGACAAGTCCGTGCGTGATAAGATTGTTTGAATTAAGTGTTGAGCGAGTGAGTACATTACATGATTCAGACAAATCACGTCCTCTTATTTCTTTATCTAAATAATGTTTTATTTTTTTGTCTGACTACTGCTGTAACGACAGAAAGCTAGGGTCAGGCAACAGATAGTTTATTGAGGAAATCAAGAGATATTTATAGATTTTTGTGTACATCATAATTAGCGTTATTGTTGTTAGCAGAGAAGAAACGTCTTCTGATTGGTTGTTTTCCTGCTGAAGGTTATTGTGTACTCCTTGTGACCGTTTCTCAGAAAGTTAAGCCATATATATGCTAATCGTATTTGCCCACGTTAAGTCTTCTGTGATTGGTTGTTGAGTTCCTCAAGGTGGTTAAGGCTTGTTATTGCCCTCTTTTTTCTCATGACCCCAATTCGGGACGTGAACATTGACGTTAATTGCTGCCTACCGATTTTGGCTTGCAGACAGCTCTCACCACACTCCTACTAGTAATAGTTTTAGCTGCGTTTTGAGTGTTCACTTTAATTTTAATGATTTGCAAGAGTTTGTGAAGAGTTGTCTTGGAATTAAAGTGATGAAAACTGGCGGTATCTGTTATGTTATTATTATTATTTATTCTCGGGGTTCCAAATGAAACACAGAGCTTCAACAACACATCTCCACTTTGTTCTATACCCCGCTGTCCTCCATCATCTGGGGTCATTTTCCATTGTCAAGTCGGCCAATTGTCAAAGATAACAAAACCAAGTGTAGATTGTTGGATTTGATCAGTGTGTAAAATTATAAAAGTAGTGTGTGTGTGTGTTTAAATAGTGAACTTGCCTATCACATTCGTGTTGATTTTGTGATTTCATGGGGGAGGGGAGGGAGGTGTTGTAACCAGGTCAGATTCTGTTTTAGTCCATAATTCGTGTTCAGACAATTTGGATTCCACTTGATATGAAGTGCTTCTGAAGATGTTAGACGTTCTTTGTGATTTCTGAAATGCTTTTTCTGGATGATGATTTCAATATTGTCAAAATCAATTTTGTAGCGTAATGTGTAGACAAGCTATGTCTGGCTGATGATTTTTCAAGTTTTTCTAGTTCAACTGGATTTCTTGGTAGTCGAATAGATGCGGCTCTACGGTGTTTATTTCTTCTGATTTTGACTTCTGGCTGGCGATGTTTGTCCAGATGTAGATCGCATCACATTCCAAACAGGCATTTTATTTTATAGACACAATTAGATAGCGAATCTTTAGGGATTTGATGTTTTATATGGACAAGGTTGTTTCTTAGTGTGTCTAATGTTTTGAAGAAAACTCGAATATCGAGCTGATTGAGTACTCTTCTGATATCGTGTGACGTCTCTGCTCTATATTAATGATGACTATAATTTTCGGTTTAATAATACTCTGATAAAGCTATTAGTAGCAGCATAAATTACACGGACTTCAGTAAACACAGTAATATCGTTTTGTTTTGCATTCATTGGGAAATACAAAAACATCTTTTATTATAATGAATACCATATACCCAATGCCCAAATTTTTTCAAACTGTTAAAAGTGAACTTGGTTTGGATATATAGAACACAGATACCTTTAGTCGAAGACAGCTAGTCGGCGTATTAAATTCAATCTTAGTTTAGTTGTTTTTCTAATAATGACGTTAGAGTTTTTGTGTATGTGTTTCATCGGTTCAATGGTAGGAATGCGCAACAAGCATGGAAGTGGTCGTCCGCGTTCAGTTGCTGGCCGACTCACACCTAAGGCTACCGTTAGCCAGTAGACAGGGGAGGTTGAACTTATGGTTTTCAACCCTACCTCGTAAAAATGAAACACTGCCACAGTTACTGAAACTTCAAAGCTCGCCTATGTCTCACATGGAACACTAGTGGCGGTCAAACCAAAATATGGCTTCATCAGTCAATGAAATCCACAACAGTTAGTTTAGGCCAGCCAGCCAGTCACGTAGGAAGGTATAGACTTTCTGATCGGCTGGTTGGGGTCCTCAGGACGGTAGAACCCAATGGCTGGAAACAATTAGTGATATGGCTCAAAATCCTCGTTCTCAATTGCTGGCGCAGATGCATCCTCTCCTTGTGACTTATGATTTCAAATGAAACTATGTCGTTCTTCGTTATTACTATTCCTTTGTCCCACACATCTGTTTATTGTCTCTAATATGCATTTCTTCTACTTTCTTCTGTTGCTTTGTGTGCTACAAGGAGGGAGTGTGGCAACTTGAACTGGTGCACATCGGTGCAAAGTTCTATTTCAAAAATAGGCAGACAGACAGACAGGTGTTCCGCATGGAACACCATGGTAATGGAGAGAAAAAAGTAATCAATTTTCATTATTTTTCAACATTTATAATATCGTTTTTCTAATGATGATCTTGATGATATTATGTCATCTGTCTTGTCTATCCTTATTAATAATTGAATTTTTGTTTTATAAAATACATATTGTTCCAGTCCAATCTTGGCATTGGAAAATCGAGTGGATCCGTTCAAAAAATCTCTCAACTAAATTATATTGAACCGTTCAATTTAGATTTACGTACTTCTCAGTCAACTGTTGAACGTGTTAATAATCCTATAACCACAACGTCATCAACATCATCATCACTATCAGAAACAATCACTACAATATCGTCAACACCGCCGGCAACAGGAACACCGATGACAACAGGCTCCACAACGTCAGTATCTACAGCCATAAAAACAATACGTCTGATTAAAAAACCCTCTATAACCTCGACGACGTCTACAATGATGAGTTCAGTCAGTAGTAACAGTTCATCAGCAGCTTTTACAACAAATCCAATCGAAACTCCTTCGCATCATCATCATCAATCCAGTGTAATAAGTCGTCTACAACATTTAATCAATACGTCATCTACTACACCAAAGTGTCCGCCTCCGCTTCCTAGCGCTAATACTATCCTACCTCAGTGTGATTCACCACTACCTCATACTACTAACACTTTTAGTAATAGTAGTATAATTCATACAACAACAACTAGTACTATTACTACTAATGCTGGAGAAGATGATGAGCATATTGAATATCGTGAAATTGATCCAATCAGTACAAATGCCTTGGCTATTGTCACAGAACGATTTGGATAGTGTGAGTGTGCGTGTGTGTGGGCGTGTGCATGTGCATGTGTCCCGGTGGGCGTTTGTGGTGTGTATACACACTGTATTTATAATAATGCATATTGTGTTCGTTTATATAATTGTACCCCCGTTGCCTCTCTCTCTCTGTCTCTTTCTCTCCCTCACTCGCTGGTCTTGTCTTTTGTAATGACCCCACTATTCAACAGGAAAAAACGTTGAATAAGTCACGGTGTTATTTTACATTCCTTTAACATAACGATTATGATGACGATAAATGCCAAGAACTCTTAATATGTACTAATGATTAGATTGACGATAATATGACTATTATTACTATCAGTATTATTGTTATTATTATTTTGTACATCTATTTTATGATTATGAAGAAATAAATATTCTTTCGTATTTAATTCAGTGTTTTAAAAACAAAAGATGAAATGTGTACAGAAATGATCGTTTTCCACCATTTCACCCCTCCCCCTCCGCTTTCTATCTCAACAACAAAAATTCAAGTTTGTATACGCCATTCAGCCACTGGGACCCGATTCAATAGTCATCCAGCCATCCAGCCAGTCCGTGAATTCTAACTTCTACCAATTCGTGATGCATTTAGCGCGACTGGGTACCAACCAATGTTATCGCTGGGAAATCCATCCTCACGCACTTGACTTGTTGGACCTCACTGGTCACGACTTCTCACTAGAAAGTACTCCAGGAAAGTGAGTCCCGTAGTCAGTAACTGACTGTCTGCAGGATTACGTTTTCTGGAGTTCTAGTGAGAAGTCGTGACCAGTGAGGCGTCCAACGAGTCAAGTGTGTGGGGATGGATTTACCGCCGATAACATTGGTTAGTGCCAGTCGCGCAAAATGAATCACGAATTGGTAGAAGTTAGAATTCATGGGCTGGCTAGCTGGTCATTGAATCGGGTCCTAGTGGGGCTCAATGATAAGCATATGAGAGTCGATTTAATTCCTTTCTTATCTGTGTAACTAATAACCCTTTAGAAAAAAGAAATTTACGTTGTATTGAACAGTCTCTCAGTTAAGATATCATCATGAATCGAAGAAGGCTCAACAGTTAACGAAGACAGACCGAAGAAGTACTGCATAGCTGTTTTGTCGTGGATTGTGAGTCTTCAGCAAGGTACACCCACGATCCCACTACCAGGGATCTAACCCGGGATCTCCACGTCACGAAACCAAGGTCGTGAATCCCACTTGATCTGTCAATTCATGATAGACAGTTATCGCCAACCAATGGCTTCAATGAGTTACACCATGGCACCTGGTAGACCTCATCACCCACTGCTTCTCAGTATGATAGTTTTAAGACATGCGTCCAATAGCTATCATCGATGAGCTGGAGATTTTCATTCAGACTGTTGGTCTCTTCTATAAGGATTCGGGTTAATTTCAATATATAGATTTCATCTGGAATAGTTATCAATTAGAGGTCATTAAAAAAAACAGTTGTTTCGTCTTAGATTGAGACTCTTCAGCAATACTCACCGACTTAAGTGACTGAATTCTACTGAATGAGCTTGATGTGTCATAAGTTGGAAGTTCTGTGTTCAGTCTCTGTCTCTGGTGGCGTCGTGAATGCACAGTCCTGAGGGGGCCTCAATCTAGGACAAAACAGTTGTCCAACACTCCCTGGTTTTCCAAGATATTTTCCTAGCTGATTGATTTCGATCTGTAACGAAATGTGCAGTGAAATTAATTCAAATCTTTGCAAAACACTCGAAACCGAACCTAAAGAGTAGCCTTTGGTCATTACAGTTCAGAGAATGCGTAGATTGTATCTCCAGGATATTATTTAAAGCAAACTGTATAAGAGCATCAGAAAAAGGCACAAACAGCGACGATTCATTCTCATGAGAGCTGGTGTACAATTGTAATTATAATAATTAACACCGTAAATTCTACCACTTAATGGGATGACTAAACTGGAAGTTGGAAAGGAGACAGAATTTGCCATGTCTTAACAAGTGTGAGATAATGACTAATCAATAAGCTCATCATGAAGAATGGACAGGAACTAGTCGAAAGGCTATAAAGTAGTTTTGTATAAGATCTGTGTGAAATAGCAGCGTTATTAATAAACAGTAACAGAGTGATAATAAAATGTGGATGATGGGAATAGCAATAATAACAAAGTCTTAAGAGCCATAATAATAATAGTGAACTTATTATTATTACAATTCCCATCATCCACATTTTATTACCACTCTGTTACTGTTTATTAATAACGCTGCTTTTTCACACAGATCTTATATAAAACTACTTTATAACCTTTCCACTAGTTCCTGTGCATTCTATACTAACTAGCTTATTGATTAGTCATTATCTCACACTTGTCAGATCTTCCTGATTGCAGTAGATTGGATAATGAGACAGACAACGGGCAATGAGGAAATAGGCGTAAAATGGACTATTCATATTATTATTGCATAACTTCTTTTAACAACTGTTTGTGACAACTCATCACCTTTGTTACTACCCTAGCACTTAATGGTCTTGACTTACCAACCTTTACCTGTTTAGTTAAAATAACCTTAAGCAATTATAATTCTTGTATCCACTTAGATCTCTTACATAGTTTCGTATTATCTACTTTGTTTCTATGTGCATCCTGAGTAAAACTCACTATTATTATTACAACTGTTTGTGACAACTCATCATTTTTTTACTACCCTAGTTTCATTAGCACTTAATTTTCTTGACCTGTATTACCAACTTTCACTTGTTTAGTTAAAAGTAACCTTAACCAATTGTAACTTTGTTTGACAAACTTAATGTACACATACATACAAAACAATGCATATATATTTGCGATTGTACAGCTAAGAAAATGAATTCGCCGAAAAGAGACTCTTCGCTGATCTACGTGTTTTGTAAAATGGACTCACACAAAAAGAGACTTGGAGGATCTGTACTTCGCCAGCGATGATATATGTCTGATTTCCCACAAATTGGAAGATATGCAAGTGAAAAGCAACAAGTCGACAGAGGAAGAAGCATCAAAGATAGGACCGCCTTCAGGTGAACATAGATAAAACAGAGGTGATGAAGATTCCTGGCAAACAGCTACAGCAACCACAACAGACAACAATCAGCCAGTATAAATGGGAGGAATCTGAAAGAAACAACCTCCTTCACTCACCTGCCTACCCACCTGGGAAGCATTGTTTCAACTACAGGCGAAACTGACGAGGATATCAAAGCAAGGCTGGGGAAAGCAAGACAAGCTTCCATCACTCTTGAGACTGTGTGGAGGTCAACAGCACTCATCATCAAAAATAACATCCGGATTTTCAACTCAAATGTGAAGTCAGTCAGTGTTACTTTACGGATGGATCAGAGACTTGGCCAGCGCGTCATAAAGAGCATCTCAAACAAACTTCAGACCTTCATTATCAGTTGTCTTTGCTCAATACTACTCAAGATCAGATGGCCGGCCAGAAAAGATCAGCAACAGGGATCTCTGACAATGGGCGAACCAACCAGGAGGCGATCGTGAAACAAATAGGCAGGAAGAAATGGAGGTGGATTAGCTGGCCATACTCTGAGGAAACCATCAAGTGACTTCACTAAACAAGCCGTTGCTCGAGTGGAACTCGAAAGGGAGGCGGCGAGTTGGTTGTCAGTGCAAGGGTGACTTGGAGAAGGTCATGTGAAGAGGAGATGAAAGCATGTGGGCAGACTTGGGGCGGAGTGAAAACGTTTGGCAGAAAACAGAAGGCAATGGAGGTGCGCAGTTGAATCCCTATGTTCCTCTAGGAATTAAAGGATATAATAGTAATAATAATAATAATGACGCTTGTTAAGACATGCCAACTTCTGTCTCCTTTCTAACTTCCAGCTTAGTCATCCCATCTAGGTTACACCTTACATGATGTAGTAGAATTTTCAAGGACAAAGTTTACCAGTATCCGTCTGATTGACCAAAAAAGATTTCTGTGTTAATTATTATAATTACGATTGTACAGCAGCTCGTGAAAATGAATCCTCGAAAAGGGAAAATTTTTTTCTTCTGTCTTTGTGCATTTTTCCTCATGAATCAATGTACGGGAATATTTCGTTCATTGTATAAGAGAAGAGAAGAGCAGTTGGTAATTTCACTCATATTTTGTTCATAAATGTATTAGGAAGCACAGTAACGTAAATGATGAGAATACTAGGGAATTTAAAGGCTTGATAGTAATTCCAAATAAACAAGAAACATCAGAGGGTCACACTTGAGATTCTTAATCAAGCTGGAATGTGGTTGGTATTTAAAACTGTAACAACAGAAGACAAGGGACAGTCAACAGATCGTTTATTAGGGAAATCAGCACGTATTTGTATGTATTTTTCATGTACATTATTATAGCTTATTCAAGCAGACAAACACAGTCTTCTGATTGGTTGTTTCTTGCTCAAGGTTATTGTGTACTCCTTGTGACTGGTTTCTCAGAAAGCTAAGGCATATATATCTGCGAATCGTATTTGCTCACGTTAAGTCTGCTGTGATTGGTTGTTGAGTCCCTCAAGGTGGTTAAGCTTTGTTATTGCCCTCTTTTTTCTCATGACCCCGATTCGGGACGTGAACATTGACGTTAATTGCTGCCTACCGATTTTGGCTTGCAGACAGCTCTCACCACACTCCTACTAGTAATATTTTTAGCTGCGTTTTGAGTGTTCACTTTAATTTTAATGATTTGCAAGAGTTTGTGAAGAGTTGTCTTGGAATTAAAGTGATGAAAACTGGCGGTAGCTGTTATGTTATTATTATTATTATTTATTCTCGGGGTTCCGAATGAAACACAGAGCTTCAACAACACATCTCCACTTTGTTCTATACTCCGCTGTCCTCCATCATCTGGGGTCATTTTTCGTTGTCAAGTCGGCCAATTGTTAAAGATAACAAAACCAAGTGTAGATTGTTGGATTTGATCAGTGTGTAAAATTATAAAAGCAGTGTGTGTGTGTGTGTTTACATAGTGAACCTGTTTATCACATTCGTGTTGATTTTGTGATTTCATGGGGGAGGGGAGGGAAGTGTTGTAACCAGGTCAGATTCTGTTTTAGTCCATAATTCCTGTTTAGACAATTTGGATTCCACTTGATATGAAGTGCTTCTGATAAAATGAGACGTTGTTTGTCATTTCTGAAATGCCTTTTCTGGATGATGATTTCAATATTGTCAAGATCAATTTTGTGACCTGATTCTATAGCGTAGCGTGTAGACAACCTATGTCTGGCTGATGATTTTTCAAGTTTTTCTAGTTCAACTGGATTTCTTGGTAGTCGAATAGATGCGGCTCTACGGTGTTTATTTCTTCTGATTTTGACTTCTGGCTGGCGATGTTTGTCAGATGTAGATCGCATCACATTCCAAACAGGCATTTTATTTTATAGACACAATTAGATAGCGAATCTTTAGGGATTTGGTGTTTTATATGGACAAGGTTGTTTCTTAGTGTGTCTAATGTTTTGAAGAAAACTCGAATATCGAGCTGATTGAGTACTCTTCTGATATCGTGTGACGTCTCTGCTCTATATTAATGATGACTATAATTTTCGGTTTAATAATACTCTGATAAAGCTATTAGTAGCAGCATAAATTACACGGACTTCAGTAAACACAGTAATATCGTTTTGTTTTGCATTCATTTGGAAATACAAAAACATCTTTTATTATAATGAATACCATATACCCAATGCCCAAATTTTTTCAAACTGTTAAAAGTGAACTTGGTTTGGATATATAGAACACAGATACCTTTAGTCGAAGACAGCTAGTCGGCGTATTAAATTCAATCTTAGTCTAGTTGTTTTTCTAATAATGACGTTAGAGTTTTTGTGTATGTGTTTCATCGGTTCAATGGTAGGAATGCGCAACAAGCATGGAAGTGGTCGTCCGCGTTCAGTTGCTGGCCGACTCACACCTAAGGCTACCGTTAGCCAGTAGACAGGGGAGGTTGAACTTATGGTTTTCAACCCTACCTCGTAAAAATGAAACACCGCCACAGTTACTGAAACTTCAAAGCTCGCCTATGTCTCACATGGAACACTAGTGGCGGTCAAACCAAAATATGGCTTCATCAGTCAATGAAATCCACAACAGTTAGTTTAGGCCAGCCAGCCAGTCACGTAGGAAGGTATAGACTTTCTGATCGGCTGGTTGGGGTCCTCAGGACGGTAGAACCCAATGGCTGGAAACAATTAGTGATATGGCTCAAAATCCTCGTTCTCAATTGCTGGCGCAGATGCATCCTCTCCTTGTGACTTATGATTTCAAATGAAACTATGTCGTTCTTCGTTATTACTATTCCTTTGTCCCACACATCTGTTTATTGTCTCTAATATGCATTTCTTCTACTTTCTTCTGTTGCTTTGTGTGCTACAAGGAGGGAGTGTGGCAACTTGAACTGGTGCACATCGGTGCAAAGTTCTATTTCAAAAATAGGCAGACAGACAGACAGGTGTTCCGCATGGAACACACATGGTAATGGAGAGAAAAAAGTAATCAATTTTCATTATTTTTCAACATTTATAATATCGTTTTTCTAATGATGATCTTGATGATATTATGTCATCTGTCTTGTCTATCCTTATTAATAATTGAATTTTTGTTTTATAAAATACATATTGTTCCAGTCCAATCTTGGCATTGGAAAATCGAGTGGATCCGTTCAAAAAATCTCTCAACTAAATTATATTGAACCGTTCAATTTAGATTTACGTACTTCTCAGTCAACTGTTGAACGTGTTAATAATCCTATAACCACAACGTCATCAACATCATCATCACTATCAGAAACAATCACTACAATATTGTCAACACCGCCGGCAACAGGAACACCGATGACAACAGGCTCCACAACGTCAGTATCTACAGCCATAAAAACAATACGTCTGATTAAAAAACCCTCTACAACCTCGACGACGTCTACAATGATGAGTTCAGTCAGTAGTAACAGTTCATCAGCAGCTTTTACAACAAATCCAATCGAAACTCCTTCTCATCATCATCATCAATCCAGTGTAATAAGTCGTCTACAACATTTAATCAATACGTCATCAACTACACCAAAGTGTCCGCCTCCGCTTCCTAGCGCTAATACTATCCTACCTCAGTGTGATTCACCACTACCTCATACTACTAACACTTTTAGTAATAGTAGTATAATTCATACAACAACAACTAGTACTACTACTACTAATGCTGGAGAAGATGATGAGCATATTGAATATCGTGAAATTGATCCAATCAGTACAAATGCCTTGGCTATTGTCACAGAACGATTTGGATAGTGTGAGTGTGCGTGTGGGTGTGGGCGTGTGCATGTGCATGTGTCCCGGTGGGCGTTTGTGGTGTGTATACACACTGTATTTATAATAATGCATATTGTGTTCGTTTATATAATTGTACCCCCGTTGCCTCTCTCTCTCTCTCTGTCGCTTTCTCTCCCTCACTCGCTGGTCTTGTCTTTTGTAATGACCCCACTATTCAACAGGAAAAAACGTTGAATAAGTCACGGTGTTATTTTACATTCCCTTAACATAGCGAATATGATGACGATAAATGCCAAGAACTCCTAATATGTACTAATGATTAGATTGACGACAATATGACTATTATCAGTGTTATTATTCTTATTATTATTTTGTATATCTATTTTATAATTATGAAGAAATAAATATTCTTTCGTATTTAATTCAGTGTTTTAAAAACAAAAGATGAAATGTGTACAGAAATGATCGTTTTCCACCATTTCACCCCTCCCCCTCCGTTTCTGTTTCAACAACAAAAATGCGGGTTTGTATACGCCATTCAATCACTAGAACCTGATTCAATTGCCACCCAGCCAGGCAGGCAGCCCGTGAATTCTAACTTCTACCAATTCGTGATGCATTTAGCTCGACTGGGTACCAACCAATGTTATCGCTGGGAAATCCATCCTCACGCACTTGACTTGTTGGACTTGGCTGCTCACGACTTCTCACTAGAACTCCAGGAAAGTGAGTCCCGTAGTCAGTAACTGACTGTCTGCAGGATGAAGTTTTCTGGAGTTCTAGTGAGAAGTCGTGACCAGTGAGGCGTCCAACGAGTCAAGTGTGTGGGGATGGATTTACCGCCGATAAAATTGGTTAGTGCCAGTCGCGCAAAATGAATCACGAATTGGTAGAAGTTAGAATTCATGGGCTGGCTAGCTGGTCATTGAATCGGGTCCTAGTGGGGCTCAATGATAAGCATATGAGAGTCGATTTAATTCCTTTCTTATCTGTGTAACTAATAACCCTTTAGAAAAAAGAAATTTACGTTGTATTGAACAGTCTCTCAGTTAAGATATCATCATGAATCGAAGAAGGCTCAACAGTTAACGAAGACAGACCGAAGAAGTACTGCATAGCTGTTTTGTCGTGGATTGGGAGTCTTCACCAAGGTACACCCACGATCCCACTACCAGGGATCTAACCTGGGATCTTCACGTCACGAAACCAAGGTCGTGAATCCCACTTGATCTGTCAATTCATGATATACAGTTATCGCCAACCAATGGCTTCAATGAGTTACACCATGGCACCTGGTAGACCTCATCACCCACTACTTCTCAGTATGATAGTTTTAAGACATGCGTCCAATAGCTATCATCGATGAGCTGGAGATTTTCATTCAGACTGTTGGTCTCTTCTATAAGGATTCGGGTTAATTTCAATATATAGATTTCATCTGGAATAGTTATCAATTAGAGGTCATTAAAAAAAACAGTTGTTTCGTCTTAGATTGAGACTCTTCAGCAATACTCACCGACTTAAGTGACTGAATTCTACTGAATGAGCTTGATGTGTCATAAGTTGGAAGTTCTGTGTTCAGTCTCTGTCTCTGGTGGCGTCGTGAATGCACAGTCCTGAGGGGGCCTCAATCTAGGACAAAACAGTTGTCCAACACTCCCTGGTTTTCCAAGATATTTTCCTAGCTGATTGATTTCGATCTGTAACGAAATGTGCAGTGAAATTAATTCAAATCTTTGCAAAACACTCGAAACCGAACCTAAAGAGTAGCCTTTGGTCATTACAGTTCAGAGAATGCGTAGATTGTATCTCCAGGATATTATTTAAAGCAAACTGTATAAGAGCATCAGAAAAAGGCACAAACAGCGACGATTCATTCTCATGAGAGCTGGTGTACAATTGTAATTATAATAATTAACACCGTAAATTCTACCACTTAATGGGATGACTAAACTGGAAGTTGGAAAGGAGACAGAATTTGCCATGTCTTAACAAGTGTGAGATAATGACTAATCAATAAGCTCATCATGAAGAATGGACAGGAACTAGTCGAAAGGCTATAAAGTAGTTTTGTATAAGATCTGTGTGAAATAGCAGCGTTATTAATAAACAGTAACAGAGTGATAATAAAATGTGGATGATGGGAATAGCAATAATAACAAAGTCTTAAGAGCCATAATAATAATAGTGAACTTATTATTATTACAATTCCCATCATCCACATTTTATTATCACTCTGTTACTGTTTATTAATAACGCTGCTTTTTCACACAGATCTTATATAAAACTACTTTATAACCTTTCCACTAGTTCCTGTGCATTCTATACTAACTAGCTTATTGATTAGTCATTATCTCACACTTGTCAGATCTTCCTGATTGCAGTAGATTGGATAATGAGACAGACAACGGGCAATGAGGAAATAGGCGTAAAATGGACTATTCATATTATTATTGCATAACTTCTTTTAACAACTGTTTGTGACAACTCATCACCTTTGTTACTACCCTAGCACTTAATGGTCTTGACTTATATTACCAACCTTTACCTGTTTAGTTAAAATAACCTTAAGCAATTATAATTCTTGTATCCACTTAGATCTCTTACATAGTTTCGTATTATCTACTTTGTTTCTATGTGCATCCTGAGTAAAACTCACTATTATTATTACAACTGTTTGTGACAACTCATCATTTTTTTACTACCCTAGTTTCATTAGCACTTAATTTTCTTGACCTGTATTACCAACTTTCACTTGTTTAGTTAAAAGTAACCTTAACCAATTGTAACTTTGTTTGACAAACTTAATGTACACATACATACAAAACAATGCATATATATTTGCGATTGTACAGCTAAGAAAATGAATTCGCCGAAAAGAGACTCTTCGCTGATCTACGTGTTTTGTAAAATGGACTCACACAAAAAGAGACTTGGAGGATCTGTACTTCGCCAGCGATGATATATGTCTGATTTCCCACAAATTGGAAGATATGCAAGTGAAAAGCAACAAGTCGACAGAGGAAGAAGCATCAAAGATAGGACCGCCTTCAGGTGAACATAGATAAAACAGAGGTGATGAAGATTCCTGGCAAACAGCTACAGCAACCACAACAGACAACAATCAGCCAGTATAAATGGGAGGAACCTGAAAGAAACAACCTCCTTCACTCACCTGCCTACCCACCTGGGAAGCATTGTTTCAACTACAGGCGGACGGAACTGACGAGGATATCAAAGCAAGGCTGGGGAAAGCAAGACAAGCTTCCATCACTCTTGAGTCTGTGTGGAGGTCAACAGCACTCATCATCAAAAATAACATCCGGATTTTCAACTCAAATGTGAAGTCAGTCAGTGTTACTTTACGGATGGATCAGAGACTTGGCCAGCGCGTCATAAAGAGCATCTCAAACAAACTTCAGACCTTCATTATCAGTTGTCTTTGCTCAATACTACTCAAGATCAGATGGCCGGCCAGAAAAGATCAGCAACAGGGATCTCTGACAATGGGCGAACCAACCAGGAGGCGATCGTGAAACAAATAGGCAGGAAGAAATGGAGGTGGATTAGCTGGCCATACTCTGAGGAAACCATCAAGTGACTTCACTAAACAAGCCGTTGCTCGAGTGGAACTCGAAAGGGAGGCGGCGAGTTGGTTGTCAGTGCAAGGGTGACTTGGAGAAGGTCATGTGAAGAGGAGATGAAAGCATGTGGGCAGACTTGGGGCGGAGTGAAAACGTTTGGCAGAAAACAGAAGGCAATGGAGGTGCGCAGTTGAATCCCTATGTTCCTCTAGGAATTAAAGGATATAATAGTAATAATAATAATAATGACGCTTGTTAAGACATGCCAACTTCTGTCTCCTTTCTAACTTCCAGCTTAGTCATCCCATCTAGGTTACACCTTACATGATGTAGTAGAATTTTCAAGGACAAAGTTTACCAGTATCCGTCTGATTGACCAAAAAAGATTTCTGTGTTAATTATTATAATTACGATTGTACAGCAGCTCGTGAAAATGAATCCTCGAAAAGGGAAAATTTTTTTCTTCTGTCTTTGTGCATTTTTCCTCATGAATCAATATATGGGAATATTTCGTTCATTGTATAAGAGAAGAGAAGAGCAGTTGGTAATTTCACTCATCTTTGTTCATAAATGTATTAGGAAGCACAGTAACGTAAATGATGAGAATAATAGGGAATTTAAAGGCTTGATAGTAATTCCAAATAAACAAGAAACATCAGAGGGTCACACTTGAGATTCTTAATCAAGCTGGAGTGTGGTTGGTATTTAAAACTGTAACTACAGAAGACAAGGGACAGGCAACAGATCGTTTATTAGGGAAATCAGCACGTATTTGTATGTATTTTTCATGTACATTATTATAGCTTATTCAAGCAGACAAACACAGCCTTCTGATTGGTTGTTTCTTGCTCAAGGTTATTGTGTACTGCTTGTGACTGGTTTCTCAGAAAGCTAAGGCATATATATCTGCGAATCGTATTTGCTCACGTTAAGTCTGGTGTGATTGCTTGTTGAATGGGTCTTGTTCATATTTTCTCACGGCCAATATTAGCGACATAGACATTGACGTAAATTAATGTCTACCAATTGGCTAGAAGCCTGCTGTCACCACAAAACAACTAACCAACTCACTCAGGGACTAACTTTGTCAGTTTCTAAACTCGATGGATTTAATTTGGGAAAATAATTTACCGAATATCATATATTGACAGTGAGACTGAATTGATATAGGTGAAACTAGAAGATTGGGATCAGTTGGATTATCTCAATTGAACTAGAGATAGGAAAACTAACCCTACTGAGTTAAATAATCTAAAATAAACAATGTTCGGTTAGTGAGTTCCATTCACTTACTTGTAGTCTTCAAGTATATGGTTTTGTAGGGACTTTTGTTTGATCGTTTGGAGGATTTCATCATGAGCTGACATCAATAAGAGAACCATTGGAAAACCACCTGCCAGACAGGCAGCTGTTTTTTCCCACCGGTTTGGAACT